TTGAAAATGGCGGACTGGAAAATCTGTAAAATTCGCTCAAGCGAAAAACACGTCGCTTGAGCGAGAATACCTGGAAAATTTGGGATTCTCGGGTCCTTTATCGCTCAAGCGACCGGTGTACTCGCTTGAGCGACGAAGTCTTCAAACAAAGGTGACTCTCCGGTCATGTCTCGCTCAAGCGACCGGTGTACTCGCTTGAGCGACGAAGCCTCAAACAAAGGGGACTCTCGGGTCATGTCTCGCTCAAGCGACCGGTGTACTCGCTTGAGCGACGAAGCCTTCAAACAAAGGGGACTCTCGGGTTCCATCTCGCTCAAGCGACCGGTGTACTCGCTTGAGCGAGCGAAGGAAGAAGAAAGGGATATGATGGGGATTTTTTTAAAAGATCAAGGGCAAAATAGTAATTTAATGATTTCGGAAATGATTTTAGGAAAAAAAAATATATATATATATATAGAGAGAGAATGAAAGTAGAGTGTTCTGACGTGTGTGGGTCAGACTAAGCCTGAGGGCTGATGCCCGAATCGATCCCGAGACATTATATATTGGCTAGACCGAGCCGAAGGTTGGTGCCGAATCGGTCAAATACTAATTTATTGACCCGAATGAGCCGTGAGGACAGGTGGTCCGGAATCCGGCAAATGTGAATAAATTTTGTATGTTTGAATGGTACCCGGGTGGTACGAGTACATTAGTGTAATAACTATGTCGGAGGATTCCGAATGAGGTCCCGGACTTCACCGATTGGTCGGGTCGGGTAGGCTACGAGATCGGGTGGTGAGAAGTCAATGGGGGGATGACTGGTGGCGCGCTCGGAGGGGTACTCCAGTATGAGTGATGAAGGGCGCCAGTAATCCTACTCGTGTGGAGGGTGGTCGAATGGTACTGCGGTACCGATCACAATGTGCCCACGGATGATAGCCTCCGAGTTCGGGCATAGTTAGGGTATACTTCCGAAAGGTGTCTTAGTGTGTTGATAATTTCGTAATTGATCATAATATATAATTATTACTTCTATATCTCGTTTTATTATATCGAATGATTTAATACTTACCCCTATTTTTCCATGTGGATGGGACTCGCGATGATCACTTTTATGTGGGAGCGAGATCGGAGTTGAGAGATGGTGATGTGACTACTCGGACAGCGAGGATAGTTCAGTGGGATAGCTTCGAGGGAGCTACTTTTACATGTATAATATATAAATAAATTATGTTACTATATTTTGAAGTTCTGTTAGTGAACTGGAATTTCAATATATGTTACAATTACAGTAATATAATGTAAAATAGATGTTGTTATTTACTTGTTTACTACTTTGTGAAGACATCATTATAGTAGCGATTTCTAGGGTCGTTACAACAATAGGTGATATTAATCTTTGGATCTCATTTTTTTTAGTTTTGTTGTGTCTTGTTTGCATAATTATTACAATGAAATGTGTCAAACCTTAAATTAATGGACAAACTACATCTAAAATAGTGGTTTTTTTTTTTGTCGACATCAAAGAATAAAATTAATATAAGTATAAGAGGTGCTTTAACCAAAATACATATGAAAGAAACTAGATGAAAGAAAATAAAAACAACTTGTTGGGTCACAAAGCGAGGTAAATCACAAAAGCCCAAGAACACAAGTTTAATAACCTCAGCGGTACCAAAAGAAACTAGCTTCGGATATAATCCTAACATTAACATATATTACATCAAGGCTAATAAACAGGTCTTATAACCCTCGGATACTCCCGCCCTCCGTCTTCTTATATGGATTCTCATCTTTGTAGTAGAATTTCATACTTTAACCTGTTAAAACATATATCAGCCAGCACAGACAAAAGAAAAACTATAGGGCAATTAGCCTCATACACCTTACTGGTTCATAGAACCAATCGGAATTTGCTAGACTCGCTCCATCCCAGTCTCTAGGGCACCAAACAATGAATTTTGCACTCATTTTACTAAATCATACTTCCGCATCAAATTTATCATTTTTAAAAATACATTTGTTCCTTTGAGACAAATATGCTACCCATAGTCTTTTCCACAACGTATTTCCCTTCACTCCCAATCCACCTAATGCAAAGTTTTCCTGGTTATCAACCGAAGAAGAAAACAAAGAAGAATCTTTTACCCACCACACTATCTTTTTCCCTTCTTTGCCTCAGCAAACCCCACACAATACAATCCCACAATCCCTCTGTTTATCTAGAAGTCTCCCCTCTCTTTTATATTATATTTTTATTTTTATCATATTTTTTAGAAGTTTAAAGCATTACCAAATTAATTTTTTGAGAGAATTGTCACTGACAGAATTCGAATCCAGTACTTTAGAGTTTGAAGCTAATACTTCAACCACTAAACTACTAGAATTTTCTGATAATAACTTACAAATAAATTATATTTATATACAAACAAATATATTTATATATTTTGATATATTTATATAGTTATATATTTATATAGTTATATGTTGGATGTGAGAGCACGTTCGAAGGTGAAAGTGTGTGTCAAGTGAGTTTTCAAAATTTGATGCCAAATTTGTGAGCGGGTCTCTTTATATGAGTTTGTAATTTAATGACAGAATATAATCTTTATAATTTATTTATATAATGATATAAAATAAATTTGGGAAATGTGTCATTCACTCAAGCGAAAAATACCAATTTTCGTGAACTTTAACGTATGTTCATTCAAGCGAGAGTTAATCTCACTTTCACCCTCGAACGCACCCTCACATCCAACATATAAATATATAACTATATAAAAATATATATAAATATATCAAAATATATAAATATATTTGTATTTATATATTTTATATTTATATATTTACACAGTATATATATTTATTTGTATATAAATATAATTTATTTATAAGTTATTATTAGAAAATTATAGTAGTTTAGTGGTTGGAGTATCAACTTTCAATTCTAAAATACTCGGGTTCAAATCTTGTCGATGACAATTTTTTAACTTAAGTGAATTTTCGGAAAATATATACAAATAAATATATATTTAAACGATATATATATATATATATTTATTTGTATATAGATATAATTTATTTGTAAGTTTTTATCGTAAAATTATAGTAGTTTAGTGGTTGGAGTATTAACTTTCAATTCTACAATATTGGGTTCGAATCTCGTCAGTGACAATTCTCTAACTTAAGTAAATTTTTGGGTGAAAAAAATGCACTATAAACCGACGTGGAAAGTACTTTCTACGTCAATTTTTGGGTGAAAAAAAAACACACTATGAACTGACGTGGAAAGTACTTTCTACATCATATATGAACCGACGTGGAATGTACTTTCTACGTCGATTACCAACGTGGAAAGTACTTTCTATGTCGGTTAGTGGAATGTACTTTCTATGTCGGTAACCGACGTGGAAAGTTCCTTCTACGTCGTATTTTTTACGTCGATTACCGACAAAGTACTTTTTACGTCGTACTTTCTACGTTGGTTACCGATTTAAAAAGTAATTTCTACGTCGATTGACTTTCAACGTCGTTTTTTAGCCAACCGACGTTGAAATTATATTCAACGTCATCTCAGCTTTAACCGGCGTTAAAACATATTTTTTAATAGTGTACCTTTCCAACTCAATTTGGTATAATGGAAATGAATAAGTTTGAATTTTTTTTCTAAAATTGCTTGAAAAACTTGGCATATTTTGTGTTCCAATTCATTCCATTTAGAGATAGTCGTTTCGTTAAACACAAGTTAGTGATTGTTCAAAGATGTTGCTTAAATACAATCCCAACCTAATGCGGAAAGCTTGGTTGGTTAGGTGAAAGGGAAGCATGAAGATAGTGTGCTTCATTGATTAGGATTGTGATATCTCGTCATGTGCCACTTGTTGGATTCAGAGGTCCATTGTTATCAGTGATGAGAGCAACCAGAAAATTAGTATATATAATTTTTTGAAGGGATCATAATATAACCTTTTAATAAAATTTAAAAGAAACTTTTTTTTTTATCATGACCCCTATCAGTTCTGCTCCCGTTGTTGATAATGTTTAAGGGATATGTTAACTTTGGTCTCTTCAGCGGTTGATAAATCTGCATGAACTCGAGTTTGCATGCATTGCAAAATGATAACATGTTCCATTCCTATACATATTATCATCTATGTTATTTTGATGAGTATGATTGGTTGTTGAAATAGCATATAAAGTTCAATATTTCTATACATATTTGTGATAAAAAAAATGCTTAAAAAAATTAAACTAATATATTTAAAATTCTTAAAATTTTCTATTTAAAATCCATATTTTATTTATTTTAAAAGATATTTCCTTAATTAATTCATAAAAAGTATTTAACTCATTTCAGTCAAACATATTTCGATTTGCTAAAAGGTATAAAAGATTTACCAATATTTAAGCAATATAAGCATCAAATAATATTTAAGCAATATTTACCAATAATCTATATCCCTATATATAATTTATTATCTCTATAGATTAAATTAACTTAACTTTGATTTCATATCTTTATATAGAGAGAGATGTTATTGTAAAACATTGAAGATGTTATGTTCCGTGGTACCTAAATTATTGGTCCTGACCCAATTGAACCTAAACCACAAAATGATAATTTGCACAAACGAATGACACATAATGAATGATAAAGTATTTGACAATTAGGACAAGGCTGAATAAAGTGGGACAATGCTCGTTCCTATTGTTGATACAATCGTGACCTAAAGATCGAAAAAGTTTCTCCTCCACTATTGTTCAAACAAATGTTGGCAAACAAACTTCTTTGCTTTGATATCACAAAACAAGACATTCTTTCCCATCACTATAGATTTGTATCATGATGCAGTTAATTTATTGAAAGATATGTGTATGTATCATTCTTCTCATAGTTCTTTATCTTCTTCCCACTTTCTCTTTGCTCATGTATTAAAATGCTTTCTTCCATGGGTGGGGGTCTATGCATGCCCTAACGCCACATTCGAGGATTTTTGTTGGGTCCATTTTGTAAAGCCATGACTTTTGAACTTCCTCAAATATGCTATAGGTACAAGATGATGAAGAAAGTTCTTAGACATGTGAGCAGTGAGAGCTCTTATCAAGTTATCAAAAGGGCATGCAATACTTCAATTTTAATCTCTCATTTTTTTATTTTATTTAAGTAACAAACTAGTTTGTAACATTCTTTTATTTAAATTATGTTACTAAAACACAATATAAGATCTTATATATTCATTTTCATATTGAAAATTAAAAATGAGTATGTTGTATAGATTATTTTAATTATATATGTGAATTGAAGTTGTATATTAAATGATGAGAAAGATCTATAAATATAATATTTTAAATAAAAAAATAATATTATATTATATGCTAAATATTTTTTAGGTTAATACCCAACCTAGATTTTTAAAGGATGTATGAAGTTTTAATATATTTCATGAGAATTGTTTGTGTTGGTAAAACCTAAAAATATGTTTGGAGATTCCTCGGGTACCCTTGCCGTCTTGTTTTGTCTTTTAGTCGCTTTTTCCAACTCAGCATCACATGCTTTGGTTGTGTAATATTTTTTTGTTAACGTTTGATTTGTGGGTTACACGCAATGCCACTACTGTTTTTCATGCACTTTCTTTACCCTGGAAAGCTCGCATCACTCCAAAAGCTTCTTTTTGAAAAGAAAAATGAAAGAAGCTCAGAAAGTAGAAACACAAACACAATGTTAGTGGCTCTAGTCAAGACCCATCGTATATTCTAAACCCACCACACTCACCTTTTTCTAATTAGGCCCTCACCATGCCACACTCATCTCATTTAAGTTTATTGCTGCTGTGCTTTATGATGTCAAACATATTATCAATTTTTCATTCTCTTTCTAATTTTAATTCTCTTCAAAAAAATTCAAATTAACCACAGTTTTACTCAAATATTAATCTTTTTTATTCTTAATTTGTTTTCAATTAAATTCATCAATATTAATTTATTTATATAAAATAAAAACAATACATTTAGTGAAATAATTAGTTATTCTATTCAAATTGTTTCAATACGTAACATGTTTGTTGTTATTCTTAATATATGTGAAAATTTTTACTGAAGTAAAATATATACTCATAACTTAAAAGTTGAACTTAATAATAATTTATATACATCTTTTCTTTCTAAAATAGTTAAAGTGGTGATGAATAAAAACTTTAAAATAATCATCCTTTCATGGAATATATATATATATATATATATATATATATATATATATATATTATTTTACACTAATTAAAAAATTAATTATCACTCATTTCTATTTCTCATTATAACTTATATTGTGAAAAGGAATCATTATTGAACAAAGAATATGTTAAAATAACAATATTATTAAATAAAAATGAAATTAGTTGAATTTACTTATATTTAGGTTGATTAACTTTTTTGTTCTAATGTTTAAATGATGAGGTAGTTTCACAACTTTGCTCCTATCAAATAACTTTTAGAATTAATTAACGACTACATATTTTAATTCTTCATGTGATTTTCCATGCTACATAAAGTCCCTACTACGTATTTTAACCATAAATATGAGGTTACGTGCGCTTCTAGCATTTATGGATATTATAAAAGCTAAGAAACTCTGCATGAAAATTAGAGTATTTCTTTCAAGCACGAGTGGCTTATATTGTACATAATTTCTTTTTAAAATTGAAAGCTTATCATTGATCACTTTCCTCACAATGTATGTTTATTGCCGTATGGAAAATATAGTTATATATACAACATCCATGATTTATGTAAAATAATAAGAAAAAATTGCAGGCAGAGAGAAAAAAAGAGAAAAAAAAAATCTAATAGCGAGAATTAAATTTTCCTAAGATATATAAGAGATTGTGTAAATAATAATACTATCAAACTAAATACACATTACTCAAAATCTTGTCATAGTGACTCATATAATTGTTACCAATATTACTGATTTCACTTTGGAGTCACGATCGTACTTCAGTCTTAGGCCCTATGTGAATCAATCTTTTCTTAGTGGGTTGTAATAGGAACTATAAAATTAATGCAACTTGCACTTAGCATGGAGCTTAATACCAAGTGTTTAGGGCCATTAATTACACACAAAAGGGAAACAAAAATGACGTGGAAAGCATACCAACCACTGTTTGGTGTGCTTTTTACAATCTTAATATAAACTGCAAAAAAAAAAAAAAAAATCATACATTAAACGCCATTAATTTACAATTTTGTGACACTGTATACATGCATATAATTAAGAATATACAGGGTATTAAAATTGTGGAAAGTGCACATTAATCAACCTTTATATGCAAAGAGATGTCCTTGTAGTCAAGATGGTTTCCTTTAAGGGAAAATTCATTGTGGATGATATAGACTAAATAGGGTTACACAGAAACCAGAAGATGCAATTACTGGTTCCATAACAAAGTCTCAGTGTAACTTTTTTTTGCCCTAACTTTTGTCATTTCATCTTCCTTTTGACTCATGCGTAAGTGCAGTTTTCTTCCCCTTCTTGGTCAGATACACAAATGTTTTCCACGTTATATATGAATCAAAAAGCACTTATGAACGGTATGTATTTAATCAGTTTGTTTGGTTCTGTGCTGCTTCACACCCCTTTGCTGTTTTGCTAAGTAAAGCTTTGGTGGTCAAAAGGGAGAGTGGAAAAGCAAAAGGGAGAAGTGGAATTGAAAACCTAATTAATAAAGATAAAAAGATTAAGGAATATTTGACAATTGGATATAACAGATTTGATTGCTTATAGGTGAGCCAAGCCAATATGTGCACTTTCCATATTCTGAAAGTGATGATCTCCAAAGTGTGAATAGATTCTGATTACTATTCCCACCAAATTATCACTGTAATGTAATTCTAACATTATTAGCTGTATCATTGCCAATGATGGAGAGACACTGTCATATTCACCAAGATGGAAAACACAGGTTTGAAAGAGATGAATACCTCTCCCTCTAAGAATTACTCATCCAGAAAACCATGCTATTAAAATTCATATATTTGTATACACTTTAATCAACAGAAAATCAACATAACCACATAACTATTTATATTTATACATAATGTATTATCATAAAATAATAATATCAATTTTCAAAAAATATATCTATCAACACCAATTAAAAAAATTAATTTGACAGTGTTTTTTAACTCTTCAGAATAAAAATCTGTGTTTTGTTAAACAAGGTATATCCCTGTCAAATATCAAAGAAATATTTTTAATACACACAAATATAATTAATGCTTGAACCCATAAACTCATGTTTAAGGAAAGGGACAGCGTTATCGTTACTAAATTGATGAGAAAAGAGTATAATTCACCCATTTTTATTGTGTTATACAAATTTTATTTTTTGATAAATTGTGTTATAATGATCAATATTAATTTTTATAATTGTAATATTTTTTTAATGTATGCTGAGATTCTACCATGTTATTTATATTGTGTTGTCTTTTTTATTATTATTAAATTATTTATATATTTATAATTTTGATAAAAAAATATATTTTCTTTTTTTCATATTTTTTTTTCTAAAATTATTGTAGTTTACCTCAAGTTGATATATATATATATATATATATATATATATATATATATATATATATATATTCATATTTTACAAAAAGAAATTTGATGATTTTTTTTCTCAATATTTGGTTGATAAAATGACTATTCACATCTAGTGGACTATTAAAAAAAATTGTTTGAAATGATTTTTTACAACATATCTACAAGTTGATTTTCAAATCTGACAAATGTAAACTTGACTATTTTTCTTAATATGGGTAAAATATATTTTTATATAATAGATATTATAAATATTTATATTTAGTATAATTAAGATATCGTGTTTAATATAATTAATATATTTTGTTTGATTTTAGTTATTTTATTAAATTTTTAATTATTTGAAAATTGTATTATGCTACTTAAATCATTAAATGATTTACATATTCATTTATATGAATTTAAATATCATTTAATAATATTTATGGAAATAATTTATTCACATATTATTAAAATTTATCCACGAAAAAATTCATAAACTACTATGATAGTACATATCTATATAATTATGATATTGCCTGAAATTAAATTTTTTTATAATTAAAATTATACATATTAATATATATGTTACTTAATGAAAATGTCATAAAACTAATTACAAGAACATTAAAAATTTAATAGAATAATTGATATTGTATAAAAATCAGATAAAATATTCTAATTGTACTAAATAAAAATATTTATAATAATTATTATATAATAAACTATTTATTCACCACAATATGCTTGGCAAGACCATATCAAGAAAGATCATTGAAATTTAAATTTTTTGGTTAATGCAAAATAACTTCATGTAGTTTTGGGTATAATCTTAATAAACATTGCTTTAGCCATAACATTTGACGATGAACTTTAGATATTCCTCTATTTCAGCATTTTAAAAAGCTACAACCTTTTTTACTTTTTACTTATCTCTATGTAATTAGTGTCACTAACAAAGGTGAAGTATGGCTTTCTATCAAACATAGTGGATGCTCAATCTGCGTGTGAATATAACCTTCAACATTTGCGTGATTATTCTTGGAGAATATATATGCCCTCTACCTAAAAGTGTTAAGATATATAAGTGTCTGACAAATTACCAATCTTTATTTGTTGGTGTCAAATCAGTATATTTGCTCAAAATCTTTAGTTTTGGATAATTAGTCTATTCACCACCTCAAAACCAATTTAACTAAAATGGCTTTTAACTAAGTAATTATAACGATTAAGTTTTTTTTTTCTCTATACCTATAAATCTTTTAGATATGCCTTTGATGAACAAAACCTTACTTAGTAGCCTCATGAACTCTGTGGAATATACAAAAAAGACACCTTGTGCACAAAATCTTACAATGAATGGATCAGTAGTGGTACATTTTACATACTTTGAAACCTTCCCTCTAATAGTGATAAAGTTTAGGATTGTCTTTTAACTTATCCTTGATTCTTCTGTTATAGAATATGATTTGTTTCTAATTGATTACACTATCTTAATATAAAATAATTATTATTCAATTTTTTTCATAGGAACTATTTTTTCTTAAGATTTATTTTTATAGAAATAAGGTTCAGAAAAACATTAAAAATAAATATGAAAAAAAATACAAATCAAATTTGATAATGCAAATTCTTAATTTCTATGTCAGGAATCCACTAACTAGTCCATTTTTATAATACAAAATTAATTTATTAAGAATAATTTAAGAGTGATCAATTACTAAAATGCATTAAAAGAAATGAAAATCTAAACAATGAAATCATAAATAATCCAAACTCATAAATTAGGGTTGATAAAGAAAGATATAGCGCGACTCTAGTAGACTAAATTAGTGACGCGTACTAAAAATATAGAATGAACAAATCAAAATATTCATTTTCATAAAAAAAAAAAAAAAAGAAGAGAAGAATTCGACTTGAACTTTTTCCCTAGATTCTCTAGTTGAGCTACGTTTAAACCTAGCATGGTCGTGCTAAGATTCATCAAAATCATGCTGATTTAGCAAGGATGCCCTACTTTTCGGCACGAGTGTACTCTAAATCTATTCCAAGTCGTTCTATGTAACTTAAAAGTTTCGTAAAATATTTATCTTACAACATAGTTGTTTTGGATGTCAGTTAAGTGATAATGATAATTGAGTAATAAAATAGAGAAATAAACCTAAATAATATAATGTGATATGATAGGAATAAAAAGTTATATTAAATAATAATAAAATATTTGGTATGGGTTATGAAATTATTGATGTCAAAAGATTTTTTGTTTTGTGTGAATAGGAAGTAGATATTTGGAGCATGGGTGTAAAGATGTTTATATATATTTAACCTAACCATTTTCCATTTGTGTAATGTGTGGGTTTCTTATTACATGATCCAATGAATATGCAGCGAAACGTGGTTTTGTTTGGTCTCATCAATTTGACCCTAACGATGTCAAGTGTAGCCGCCTTTTGAATGTGTCGTGTCTTTTGGCTGCTTTTGTGGTGGCACGCACTGCCGCACCTCACTCTTCGCTGTATCCACGTATACCCCTATTATTGCCCTAACCTTCATCCTTCATCCTTCATCTTGATTAGGTTAATAAAAATTATATTATATCAACACAATCAATTTATACCATAATTTATACAATACTATTTTTATTTTCTTTTTTCAATAAAATGAATAAACAATAAATTATTTTGTATGAATCATTTTATGAAATATTATGTATTATATATCACTTCTTAAAAATTACAAATAAATCTTAACATTATCATCGTAGATAATGGATTCCTTAACTATATTGTAATATTGTATCTGTTAACATAATGCACTCTTGGAAGAGTAATATCATTGGGCTAGATAAATAAGTTAATAAAAAAATAATATTACTCTGTATCAAAACAATTATAATAATATAAACTTATTAATTTATATAATTAATTTTAGAATAATTAAAAATATTATTTTATTATTTTAACTTAAATAGGTATTAAGAAATTTTTATTATTATTGTTTAAAATAAGAGAAAAATATATTAGATTATTATTTTAATTTAGGTAATTATAGTTGAGATATTATTAATATTTAATATTTATTATTTTTATTATATATATAATATGAATATGAATATATAAATAAAAATAAAAATACATAACTTTATATATATATATATATATATATATATATATATATATATTATAAAGTTCTATGGGCCTCCGAACACTTAGGCGGGAAATGTTGAAAGAATATAAATAAACTATTCATATTCTTCCAAGGGGGCATTTTGTTAGTGTGGAATCGAGAAGCCTCGATCGAGAAATGAATCGAAAGGGAACTTTCCCGATGTCCGATTATAAAGAACGTGACACATAAAATCGAAAGGTAAAATCGGAAGAGAAGGTGTAATAGTCGAAAGCTTAACATGGAGTTAAAGTTAAAATAAATCGATACCAAGGATGCAAAGTTCTCGATTAAATCAAAGGGAAGGCTCGTTTTCGTAGATATCATAACCTCTGCTAAACCTTGAAGGAAAATAGTCAAAACGCACGCATGGAAAGCAGCTTCTAAGTTATGGAAGAGCCAAAAAATCATGGGAACGTGGGGAAACAATAGAAGAAAAACCGCCATACGCACGTAGAACGTGGTAACAGATCGTGTTAACCGCTCTTGGAAGGCTTGAAAGATGCCCTATAAATAGAGCAAAGAAGGAAGGAACGGGGGAAATTGGCGAGAGAACGGAATCAGTAGTGAAAAGTCTACCGGAGAAACGACGAACACCATGAAGTTTCCGGCAATCTGGATTTCCTTGCTCACCGAGTACATTTATCGCTTTCTATATTTTCCTTGGTAATTTACTTTCGAGCCATTTCAATTCAGCAATTTCATATTCTTGTAGATTACATTCAATGTCATTTCGATTTTCTCGTTATTTACTTTCTCGTGCAATTTTAATGGGTTTTAGCAATTTACATTTTCCGCACATTTCGATTTCCTGTTATTTACTTTCTGTGCAATTTTAATGGGTTTTAGCAATTTACATTTTCCGCACATTTCGATTTCCTGTTATTTACTTTCTGTGCAATTTTAATGGGTTTTAGCAATTTACATTTCCCGCACATTTCGATTTCCTGTCCTTTATTTATCTCGCAAACTTAATTTCTTGCAAATTCGGGTTTTCGCACTTTCTTGCAATTTAATATTCTCTTTGCTCGATTCGATACTTTACTCGTTTTGTTTGAGTCAAGCATTTTAGACATAAAATACCAAAAACCACATTTTCGATATCCTGTAGTTTTCAATTCTCATACGCGTTTTCGATTGAAAATCAAATTGCTAGCCTAAGTAAAAAGAACTTACGTGGTAGAATTTTGATTAGGACCAAAACACCCTTAGAATCGAAATCGATCGAAATTCCACCAGAAACAAAATTACATTGAGGTTGACGTGAAAAGGAAATTTTATAAATTTAAATAATATTTTTAAACAAAAAAATATGATTCTATGTGTATAAGCAAACATTGAAGTCCATAATTATTTAAAACATTTTCTATGAAAGTGTGTGATATGGTGAGAATGTTGAAGCATTGCTTTATTTAAAACAACAATAGGCATTGACTTAGGTTACCAAGATTATAAATTTCGTTGAAGTTTTGCCTTTGACGTGTGGTACCCCAATCCAAATAAAATTAAATATGTTTTTAATACCAACAAAATTAATGTGTTTGACTTTGCTATTTATAATTTTTTTATCTTAAGTCTCTAAATTAAAATCAGTTTTTTTAATTCTTATAAAATATGTTTTTTTTTTATGAAGAAAATATTTTTTTCATCCTTTAAAATTTGAAATAAATAATTTTGGTCCTAATATTTATTCTAGAATTGTAGAATAAAGGAATATAAGCACCACTTTAAATGTCCTCTTAACTTTTCATTTAATGGGTAAATCGTTAACAAGTATTGCATAATGAGTCTGTTTGTTTGGTCTTATAAAAAAAGAAACTTTTATTTTTTTAAATGAGTTTATCCAATTATATTAAATAGCATAATAAATAATTATTTCATTAGTAAACTACTTATATTCTTTAAAATATTAAATAAATAAATTTAATATTAAAAATTTAAATAATATTTTTATTTTTGAAAAGACTTATAAAACAAATATAAACCGAATTAAAAAACTCATTTTACCACAACTATAAGCACATCTCATCCATATATTATTCACATTGATAAAGTCCAAGAAGTAAGTATTATCATTATCTGTATGTTTTTAATCTTTCGAAAAAAATCGCTACTATAATATAACGAGTGAAAAGTGATGTATATAAGTAGAGTTGTTTAATAAATATTTAATAAAAAATAATATTTATTAATACGAGATCATATAAAAAGTATTAATATTTTTTTTCTTTCTCTTCTATAACCATATATTAGATTACATTTGTTGATTAGATCTAATCTTCCTAATATCATCATATAATTAATATAATCATAATAATCAAGTCATATAACAAAAAAATATATATATAAGTAAATTAATTATTCAAATAATAATAATTATTCATCAAATCTATTATTCATAATATTATATAATTATATGTGTAGAAATCATATTATATTAGACATATATAAATATTTTTTAAAAGATTTATATTATGCTTTAAATTCAAAGACTAATATAAATGAATTATACTTGAAATTGATATTTTATTATATATTTTTTACTATCAATACTATTTTGGTTTTCCTACCTACAAGTAGAATTATGGACAACATTACTTATTTTTATGCACTTCTCTCATGATCTTACGTAAGTCATCAATTATCCGATTCCTTATTTATCGATATTTTAATCTACTTGACTAAGATTATTAGTAGAACCTGATACCTTATTAAATTCATTCAAGCGTACTAATTACATTAACATTACAAATTACTTCTTTAGTATTCATAACCACACACATCTCAGTTAATTATGAATCACAATTATGACTCGAATTAATATCACATATATAAATATATTTTAGTTGATTATACGTCACTCTCTTAACTTTTTGAAATTTCAACAAATATATCTTAATACGAAGACCACACACCACTACTATATTATCTTATAATTCATTACATATGTAATTTTCTCATATTTATAATAAACTAGGTTTATTTTGATTAAATATTTTAATTATATATATATATATATTTTTTTTCTATTTTAACTTTTATCTATTATTTTTTCCATAACTTATCAGTGTATATCTTCTTTAACTAATTCTTTTTTCGTTGGATTTCTTTTTTATATAATTTTAATTTGAATATATAGAATATAAAATTTATAATTTGGGATAATTTTATAATTTTTAGAAATTCAAACAAAAAATAACTTAAAAATTTTTTGAATGAAAATTTAACTACATCAATTTTCTCTAATTTCTGTAGATAAAATTTAAGTTGATTTGACTTTAGAAAAAAACTCTTCTTAAATAAATCATCACCACCTTAACTTACCTTTCCCACCGTACTGTCTTCGTTTAAGAAAATATAAGTTTTGCTTGAAAAAAATAAAACCAAAGAAAGTTTTTTTTGTTTTTTTCATTTTTCAGTATTTTTCATCCAATATGTAACTCGTTTATAACAAACATGTAATAAAAACACGTCATTCTTCTTTTATTATAATACACAAAATATATATAAAAACATGTTATTGATTAAATACCTAATTCAACTTACATGAATATTCCTGACTCATAACTTTTATATATATATAGGCAACACTTTGATTCTTAAATCCCGTTCAAAGTTCTGTTTGACAGAAAGCCTCCTTTTGTCACTTCCAAATATAAATTCCACCATATTTTCATTACACTAAATTTAAAAGAGAACGTGTTCTATTTTAGAAACACAAATTTTATAAAAATTATTTAACTTAAAATTTTTATTTATAGAATTTTCAAATAATATATTTGTTATATTTATAAATATTACGTCAATTACATTTTTAAGAATGTATTTAACTTATAACTTGGTTCAATGGTTTACAGTAGTTTTATTTTACCAAAATAAATGTGGTGACACAAAAATTATTTTAATAACATTTAACTTCTTTTTTAACTACTTCACTTAGTTTAATACTTATAAATTACTATTTTCTTTTTCTTTTCTATTCTTTGAATCTATTTTTTTTATTTGTGTTATTTTACATTTAGCAGTAAATGTATTCATCATCATTTAAAATACTTTTAATTACTTGATTAATTTATAACTTTTTAAACTTTTCAACTCTTAATTTATAGCTTCAGATAATTGATAAATTATTGTTAATATATAAATTTAACACATGTTTACAATATTATTTTGATAAAAATTAAAATTTTATTTCAGTTACTCGTCATTTTTAGTATCGATGTTTAATGTATAGATTTGTGAATGAAGTTTTAATTTTAATTAAAAATAATATCACAGATAATTTAGAAAGAAAAAGGAAACGTGTAAAGAAATATATTTAGATATAAATGAAATAAAATAAGTTTTTGGATAACATTTGGTGGATTGATAAAATCGAAGAGGAATCCTTGAACATAAAAAAATAATTAAAGTAGCATTGTGAAACGTGAAGAGAGGAAAATCCTCAGGTGATAATGAATGCTTTTAAATTTGTCGAAGAATTCCACAGAACATTCATGTTTTCTTTTGATTTTATCGATTTTATATCCATTTTTTTTAATGGTTATATAATTTCTAAATCGATTAGACGGATTAAACCGATCCAATTTTTAGTACAGTATTTTGTATTATGTTTATGATTTTTTTATCTGTACATTAATTACTCTCAATAGATTTTTTATTTTATGTATGTGAATCTAATAGAACAAGATTAATTTATTGAATTTTTTAAAATTTTATATGATATTTAATGATTTGAATTTAAAGTATTAGAAAAGATAAAAGATAAAATCTAAATGAGTTGTGTTAATGTTCAACAATATGCATTAGTTGGCAAGATATAGTTATTTCAATTGACTTATCGTTTGACCAAATTTCAACTCCTTTTACAAGCAAGTTGGTCCAAGTGGGAATTTTCATCATTTTAAGAAAAATAAAATTATATTCTATTTAAATTACTTTTAAGTCAAATTATTTTATTTTTTATTAAATTTGGATTTTCTTATTTAAAAGTATTTAACTATCATATAATACAAAAGTATATTTTAATATTTATATTAAATATTAGTTGATAATATTTTTTTAATGAACGTTGGTCAAACCTATTTTTGTCCATTATTTTTTAACCGAACATTAATAATTTTTTTTAAATTGATATTAGACGAGATTGATAATAGTTTTTTTTAATTGATTTTTTAACCTAGCATTGATTTTTTTTTGTTTATATACACATGAAAAACATTTTTTTCTTTTTTTGGAATGACAATATATTTTTAGATGCTTTTATAAAGATGATAGAGATAACGTGTATTAGTGATTTAATTAATTAATTTTGTAACAATTACTTTTACAAGCTATTTTTAGGGATTAAAATAATCAAGTTTATAATTTAAATAAGATACTATTAAAATATATCCTAATAGTTATTATTAGAAGTAACTTTTATGAAAATGGGTTATACTGGACGGTAAAAGAATATTTTTATATTATATTAATAAAATTTATGAGATAATTGTCTGTATAGAGAAGAATATAATAAATAAGTTAATGATTCAATTGAGTAAATGTGTGAAGATATTTTTTTTTATAAATGTAAAAGAAAATGAAAAAAATAACATAATCTTCGACAGTGTAAATATTTTAATGAAATAATTTAAAAATACATAATATCAAACACTATTGTGATTACTTAATATTTTGAATTCTACGTATCCAGCTATGTCAGAATAGTTAAAAAGACAACTTGCAAGAATCCTAAACTATTCAAACAGTAGTTTCTCCAACAAAAAATGTTTTAAAATTTCCATAATAAATGGCTACATTATTAATATGAAATATTTATTGACTTTTCTGATAAATGATAAGATTAGCGTGTGAATTGATATGAAGATCAATGTCTAGTCTCTCAAGAAATGTGGAAGATGAATCTGATCTAACTCTTGCAGAAATCACGATCCCTCCTCAGTAAAATATGCAAAATTAGAATGTATACCATGAAAGGGGTAGGTATGCAGCAATTCTTTTTTACTCGAAAACTTCATGAATGGTCCTGACTTTAACATACTTTTATAGAAAACAAATAGGCCAGGCACCAACCATACCGTTTCATCACCTTTACATTTATTTATTAAGAAGAAACCAAAATGACACTGCACCAAGCAAACCAGAGCAACAATAATATACCATACAAGAAAATTAAAATTATTAGCCAAAGCCATGATATATTAAAAAAAGCCTTTGAAAAAAGGTTTCCAAGTGGACAAATAATAGAAAATGAAAATAAAAATAAAACATGACAGTCTAATCTAAGTAAGAGAGAGAACCCAGGTTTGGTGTTACCACCACTCACCACTACGCCAAAAAAGAAGCATGGAAAAGTAAAAATCTCAACTTTTTTAATTTTTTTTTTCTTTTTGAAAATTGGGATCATGGCAAGCAATGTGTTTTAACGTCCATTAGTTATGGCATGTTATATATAGGCATTGAGGAGGAACACACACACAGCGAGTCATTGCCTTGTCAAAATTCTTTAGACCAACGTTGTCTTCGGAGCCTCATTTTTTACATAGGTTGTTCAGTTATTATTTTTGTTGTGGTTGTTATCCACAATATCCGAGGTACCCTTTTCTCAGAATCATACTTTGCTTAGCAATCTTGATACCCTTCGGTGAATCGCTTCTGGGTCTTAAAGGACAAAACTTGGATTCAGGGTCGTGATGGAACAGAAGCACGTTCTGTTGTCAGCATTGAGTGTTGGGGTTGGATTGGGTGTGGGGCTTGGGTTGAGTTCAGGGCAGAAATGGGTTGGCGGGAATCGCGACTCTGATGAGCTTTCTGTGGAGCAGATTGTTCAGGAGCTCAAAAAGTTGGTGGTTGAAGGAAAGGACAGCAAGTATACATTTGAGGACTTTCCATATTACTTAAGGTGATTTTGAGATTTCATTGGAATATAATAATGGCATATTATGACTCAAACATGGTGTTATTGATTTCTGTGTTTTTCTTACCATTTTGACCCTTCAGAGTGATGTTTAATCATTTACAGCATTTTCTGGGGGGTATGTTTGAATTTATGATATAGTCTAATACGATAAACTTGGGTGCAAAGGTGTTTAGACATGGATCTCTCTCAGTTTGACTTGTAATTACGTGGCAATCTGCTATGAATCTAATCTTCTGGTATATATGATTTTGATACTCTATTTGGGGCTTCTATGATGGGTTTGATCTCCTTATATCTTTGAGATTTTATTGACTGTTTGAAGTTGAGTTCATCTTTGCTTCTTTGTTAACCCCAAACTTCATAGATTTTCTCTTGCCATAGGTTTCTGTGGTTTTTAAAAGCAAATTGTTGCATTTTGAGTATATGTTGGGTCAGAAACAGGGAAGCTGGTGATATACTGATGTTTATCTGAAATATATTGAAGAATGAATCTGATAGCATAATTTTAATTTGTACTTTTTGTAATCAAAGGATAGATTATTTGAATATATAGTAATATTCTATCTGGCGCTTATTATGTGCACTAGCACTTATTTTAGATTTGTTATAGTTCATATTATTTTTCTGGTTAAGCATATATATTTCGGATTTAAGCTTCATCCTCTTCTTAGATTATGGGACAATTGTCGTTTAGACTTCTCTATGTTTCTTGTCTACTCAAAATTAGTAGTTCTACTCTGCTTCAGAATATATAAACGGTGATCACAATAAATCTGCACACCCTAATTCAAATAATTAATACCAGTTAAGATTAAAAAATATCACACTTCTGTTCTCTGAAAAGTTACAGTGATTGAGACTCTAATTCAAGTTGTGGTAACAACCCCGGGATGTGAAATAGTGAGCAAGTGCACAAGACTCTCACCATTGTGTGGTTAAGGAGGATCAGATGTAAACAAATTTGGAGAGTGGTCTGAGAGGTTGTTTCTGTATCTACAACTACAACTTATGATATGACCTACATGATGCAAAGACACACTCTAACAATAGGTTGATGTACTAAAAATGAAAAGAAAAGTGTTATGTAATTCCATAGTCTTTGAAAATTCCTGATCCTAGATGCTATAACAGTCTTTATTACAGCAACTGGGATCTTCCATATTCTTTTTCTGTTCTTATATTCTCTAGTTCATAGGTCTGTAAGTTGGTATATAACTACTATTCTGGAAAGTTTAGATATGGGAATGTCGTATTGTTTGTTAACTACTGCAAGATAGAAATTGAATTCCTTCAATTGTTTATTGTACATCTTGAACTTAATAGAATTCAAATTCTAGCTTCTTGTTTTCTGATTTTATATTCCAACAGTTACCATGCCACATTCAATGAGCCATCATACCTCTAGTTTCTAAATTGATATATTAATACATTTTTTCCTTATAGCACCATATCTTATGCATGCATATAATGTGATAATGCAGTGAAAGAATTCGAATTTTGTTGACAAGTGCCGCATATGTTCATTTAAAACATCTTCACTTTTCCAAGCACACCAGAAACCTCTCACCAGCAAGCAGGGCAATTTTGCTATCTGGTCCAGCAGGTATACCATGCAAGAATTTTAACCTTGTCCTGCAGATTTTTTTTTTAAATTTCAAGTTGGTTTGACTGATACTATTTATTTGTAAATTTTGAAGAATCTTACCAGCAAGCCCTTGCTAGAGCTTTAGCACATTACTTTGAATCAAAGTTGCTGTTGATAGATATTACTGACTTCTCTGTGAAGGTAATTTTTCATGGCTTCTCATTTTATTTACTTTAGCTGGTCACGTACACATATTCTTACCTTATATGTTTTTCCCTTGAACAGTTGCAGAATAAATTTGGATGTTCCAGAAAAGAACCAGTTAGTTTACTCTTCTTGACATGATGAAATTACAATTTGTTAGCTTCATTTCATATTTACTTAAAAAAAAAAACAATGAAATCATGTAATTGTTAGTTCATAGTAATATTTTCATGACTTATTTGCTTCTGTTTACATAGTCTTTGAGAAGGTCAATATCCGAGGCAACGTTGGAGCGAATGTCTGGTTTGTTTGGTTCCTTTTCAAGGCTTTCTTTAGCAGGAGAAACAAGAGGTACTAAGCAAAAAAAATTCAACGTTTAAAATAATGAATTTTTTATTCTATAATTACCTATTATAGAGTTTGATAGTTGAAGACTTCAAGATTATAATGCATGTATTGCTTTGACATCTGGTAATAGGTTTTGTTTTTAAAGTTAGTATCACCGACAGTGTTCACAGCCCTGACATTGGAAATAGTTGTGGAGACTCCATATTATCTCTTCTCCTTTTTCCAAATTTGTATTGATTGATACCTGTATTGCGTAATATATAAGTTGCTAACTTAATATATAGAACTATTACTTCATTTATTTTGATTGATAATTTCTTTTGAAGGAATTCTGCGTCAACATAGCGTTTCAGCTGATATTTCCAATCCTCCAAAGCTTAGGAGGAATGCTTCTGCTGCATCTGATATAAGTAGCACTGCTTCCCAGTGTGGTCCAACATTTCCAGGTTATACTTTAGAACACCTTATTAAGCAAGTATGAAGTTGCTAATCCAACTCAAAGATTAATTTGAACATCTAATTCTAATTCAGTTGAGTACTCTATTGACTTCTTTTCAACATACTTCTTTTTATAGTAAATCAACCCGTCAATCTGTTGGTTCATCTGTGAAGATGAAGGGTGGTGTTTATAGAAGTTTCAAACTAGTGCTAACAAGAACTAATATGATACATGCAAATTCATGTTATGAATTTATGATTATTCTACAAACTCTAGGAGGAACATAGTCTTCTCTATAATTTTCTTCTTTTAAACAAAGGAAATTTTGTGCAGCTAAATGCTTGATTCTTTGCATTGTTCTCACTAATGCCTGAAAAATCAATGTTCTCCAACATTTTGCTCACTTCATTGAATTATGTTTTCAGCTCGTTTAAAGCGCTCAAGTAACTTGTGTTTTGATGAGAAGCTCTTTGTGCAGGCACTTTACAAGGTGATTTAATTACTCAAAGTTCAAATTAAAATTGTATCCATTGACAAACTTTATTGGCAACATTTCCATTAGACGAGTATCATGAATTTGTTGCATGACTATCTTCAAATAGAGTTTTTACACTAATAACAAAATCATTGCAATTTTTTCAGCTCTTGGTTTCTATCACAGAAACTAGTTCCATCATTTTATACATCAGGGATGTTGAGAAGCTCGTTCTCCAGTCATCAAGGTTATATAATTTACTACAAAAAATGATAAAGAAAATATCAGGTTCGGTGTTGATACTTGGTTCCCAGATATTAGATTCAGATGATGATTGCAAAGAAGTTGATGAAAGGATCACTGCGCTATTCCCCTACAATATTGAAATCAAAGCTCCTGAAGATGAAGCTCATTCTGGCAATTGGAAAGGCTCACTGGAAGAGGATATGAAAGCTATTCATTTCCAAGATAACAGAAACCACATTGCTGAAGTACTAGCAGAAAATGACATTGACTGTGATGACTTGAACTCAATCTGCCATGCAGATACAATCGTACTCAGCAATTATATTGAAGAAATTGTAGTATCTGCAATATCTTACCATTTGATGAATACCAAGGATCCAGAATACCGAAATGGAAAGCTAGTTATATCAGCCAATAGGTAAATATCTTGTCCAATGACTGCAAGCAATTGATTACATGACAAAATTTTGCAATTACTGATTTTGGATGTGGACAGTTTGTCCCATGGATTGAGTCTGTTCCAGGAAGGCAAGAGTAGTGGGAATATGAAGACTAATGAATCTAACAAGGTATGCTTGTTTACAGTTATGTATTACCACAGGAGTAGCAGAAAAAAGTTATGAAAAAAGAATGACAAATAGTGAATATCATTGTATATATTCAGTTTTTATTTATTGATGTATTTCTCTGTAACATTAGGAAAATGCCGGCGAAGATATTACTGGTGCAAAGAATGAAGTAAAGTGTGACAATCAAGCACCGGAAAACAAAAGTGAGACAGAGAAATCCATCCCAGTAACAAAGAAAGATGGCGAAAATACTACACCTGCAAAAGCAGTAAGATCAATTTTCTTAGCACCTAAGACAGTAAAAATACTTCTCAGCTTCAAATCCTACCAATTGAATTAAAAAAAAGAAAAACAAATGAATAGGATCCTTATATATACTTCAACTACCTTACAAATTTGATGGTTCCAACATGGACTATTGATACAATATAATCAACAATTTACGAGTCATCTAGCTGGAGCCCGGTGATCTAAACTCTAAAAGTAGTACCCTTTACAAGACTATTTTCTTTTACTCCCTATCCCCTATTGTGCTATTATATACTAATTGCTTGTTTGCAGGAGGTTCCTGACAATGAGTTTGAGAAGCGCATAAGACCCGAAGTTATCCCTGCAAATGAGATAGGGGTAACATTTGCGGATATTGGTGCATTGGATGAGATCAAAGAATCACTTCAAGAGCTGGTAATGCTTCCCCTTAGAAGGCCTGACCTCTTCAAAGGTGGGCTTCTAAAGCCATGTAGAGGTATATTGCTTTTCGGGCCTCCTGGTACTGGGAAAACAATGCTAGCAAAAGCAATTGCAAATGAAGCTGGTGCCAGTTTCATTAATGTCTCAATGTCCACCATTACATCAAAATGGTTTGGAGAAGATGAAAAGAATGTCAGAGCTCTATTCACACTGGCAGCTAAGGTTGCTCCAACAATTATCTTTGTTGACGAGGTTGACAGCATGCTTGGACAGAGGACTAGAGTAGGAGAGCATGAGGCCATGAGGAAGATAAAAAATGAGTTCATGACACACTGGGATGGACTATTAACAGGACCTAATGAGCAAATTTTGGTTCTTGCTGCAACCAACAGGCCATTTGACCTTGATGAAGCTATCATAAGACGGTTTGAGCGCAGGTAGGACCCCCTCCTGTCTTGTTTGCATGATCATGTGTGTCTTTGCTTCTATTCAGCCACATTTTTACCAACCGGACAATACTACATTTGCTTCGTTACTATGATGAGCAATGTGTGATCATAATATGAAAACAAGAAAATTTATAACATGTGGTCATTTCATCTATTTCCTTTCAAGGTGTCTGTTCCGTTTTATGTAGCCAACAATACCTTATGGCTCCCTTAGAAGGCAGATCTTTCTGTAGCTTTTGTCTCAACTCTTTTAGCCACAGTTTCTTCCTCTCTGGCATTTAAATTGTTCACAAAAATTGAGCTTATCATATCTTTTAAGGATACAGTCAAATCAAGTGTTGTTTTCAACTGTGCAATATCAATATTCTTTACTTTTCAGTTCAATTATTGTTGCTCCTGTAATTTGTGAATGACACATCTTTACATTTCTATTGTTGAGCAGGGTCCTGGTTGGTCTTCCATCTGCTGAGAACAGGGAAATGATCTTGAAGACTCTTTTGGCTAAAGAAAAACATGAAAACTTAGACTTCAAAGAGCTGGCAACCATGACAGAAGGATTTACTGGAAGTGATCTTAAGGTGAGGTTTGGTAGTGATTGCTGGTTTGATTTTTTTTTTTATTTTTGGTTAAATTCTGATGATGTTAATGTCTGAACAGAATTTGTGCATCACTGCCGCTTATCGACCTGTTAGAGAGCTAATAAAGGGGGAGAGAATGAAGGAAATGGTAGTTATTAAATAGCTTCTACTATTCTAAGATTAACATCTCTATTCAATTCAAACTTCGGCATGAGATGAAGATCTAACTAAATACCAATTGCGTCATATTTTAGGAAAAGAAGAAAAGAGAGGCAGAAGGCCAAAACTCTGAAGATGCTTCAAACAATAAAGATAAGGAAGACCAAGAAATTACCCTCAGGCCTTTAAATATGGAAGACATGAAACAGGCTAAGAGTCAGGTACGGTGGACTGAATTTTTTTCACTCAAATGGCTAGGGAGTGCTAGATTTGGGAATCTGTGCAATACTGCATGCTGTATTAAAATTGGATTTGTTAAAATCTAGGAAATTGAAAACGATTATAGATATCTAGCACTATGGTCCTGTAATCCATTTTTAAGACTTAAAATGGTGACTTGTTCATGTAACTAAGTATTTCCTACTAACAATGTCACACTACTGGAAGAACAAGAGTGTGTTATTTCTTGTAGAATATCTTTTTCCACATACATGAACTTACAGATATCTGACTAAACACAGGTGGCTGCAAGTTTTGCCTCAGAAGGATCCGTCATGAATGAGTTGAAGCAGTGGAATGATTTGTACGGAGAAGGAGGTTCGAGGAAGAAGCAACAGCTCACTTACTTCTTTTAGATTGGAGAATGCTACTTATATTTTGGATTTGTCTCCATTCATCCTCAATGATACATTTCAACAAAGGAAGGAGTCCTTCACAAGAGATGTTGAACTGAAAAGAAGCATGCCCAAATTTCTCACTACACCCCAAATGTCACAGATCTTATGATTCCCAGAAAAGCACTAGTCCTTGCACACGTGTATTCTCTAAAGAATGTCTAGATCATCATGCATTGTGTTAAGGAGAGGGTTCTTAGTTTTTGTTTGGATTTTCTTGAAACAAATGACCACTTATTTTAGGTAATTTATATTCTGTCATGCACGGTTTTGGAAGATGCAATGGCTTTTTAGCAAGTAGGAATGTTTTACACCAAACCTCTTAGGTATGCTGTATTATATATGATCAGAATTTTCAGTCAGTAGAATTTGTAAATTGATTGTGCAACTGTACTACTCATACAGTTTGGTTCAATTATTTCTGCGAATTGTCTTGGTGAAATATTTTAGTGAATGCTTTGATAAAATCATGAAAATGATAGAATGAATTTTGGATTATAGAATATTAGTCTGATGAAAATTTTACTAATATTCTACATCAGAAATAATTATCCTTTTCCCTAAAGATTTGAAAGCATAAATATAAAACTCGTAATTTGGAGATTGACTAAAAATGAGAGATGAGAGGAGAGAGCAACAAACGTTTCTCAAAAGTGCATTGAATCCAAACAAATAATAAAATATCATTTAAGGAGGAGTAAATTTGACTCATTATTTTGCTTAATCAAATGCTATTTGGATTGTAGATGACTCTATGAAATTATGGTTTGCAGTTAACTTTAACATCAATGATAAAAAGAAGTTTAAGTTTTGATTTTACAGATTCAACTAGCAAGCTAACTCTCACATAATCCAAACAATTTAATTTTAACTAAAGTAATTCACACTAATTCAATGACATATGAAGCCTTTTAATCTCATACATGATCAAGGAAGAAAGGAACAAAGATACATGTCCCTAGATTACACAAACTGTTATTTTAACATAACCAAAGAGCATTGCTCAAAAATGAAGAAGTGATTACCAAACATGTTATTTTCCAACTTTCTGAAAATTCATCAAATCACTGTATGACTAACAACTTCACATGAAACATTAAGTTTAGATTTAAAGGCTAAACTATGAACAACATGCTTAGAAAAAGGACAATGAACTACATCACAGTCACAGTTGGTTCCCTCAAGCCGAAAGGAGTTCAACAACCCATTACAAAATACAAATAGACAAGAAAGAAGACTCATTAAACATCCACTTTTAAAGAAAATAAATCCAGAAACCTTCCTCAATTCTCTTTCTCCAAATCCAAGTGGCTTCTCACATCTAGAAGTGACTCTTTGCTCCTGTTCTTTGATGATCTTTCACCAACCTACCCTCACAACCCTTTGAATATTTAACAACAATTCCATTTTCCCACACTTGTTCACACCTAGAATCCAGACTTTCTGTCAAAAAAATAATAATCTTAATTTGTCCAAAAATAGAAATATAAAAAGAAAAAAAAAATCCAAAAGGAATTGCAAATATTAAAAGCAAAAAAGTAGAAAATGTGATGAAAAAGCGTATGCTCTATTTTACAATTAATAGCTTACAAGTGGAGGAAGGATATATCAAATAAAAAGAAAACGAATAAACTACGTAGTAGAAAAGGAATAAAATATTTTCATTTATTTAAATTAAATTAAATTAATATAAAACGATAGTGAATAGAAGTTTGGCGGTTGTTTCCAGCATTTCTCCCAGCTTTTCCGGTAACATACAGGATTTCATATATGATAAAACTGTTTTAGTTAGGGATAATAAGAGTAACAGTTATTCCATATATCTAGATATTGAAAATAAAATTTTAGAGATTAACAATTATCATTTATATGCACGATACTCAATTTAGTTGAAAAAAATATTAATAATTACATTGATAGTTATCTTCGTTCTCAAATATATATCGATAATTGTATTTTAAGTGATATTGAGAAATATAATGACACTTATTTTAAGTGATATTTTAGAGATTATTGATCTCATTATTAAAGTTCAAAATTTGTTCCTAATTCAAACCTACGTCACTAATAATTAGGAATACCAACCATAAGTCACATTAATAATAAAATGAATTAACATATTTTAAGTAAGCTAAAAAATATATTAATTTTGTTGGAATAAAGGTCATCATTGTGGTAATTGTCCATATTTAAAACAAAATAAAATTTTATTTTCTTATATAATATATTAATATTTTCTTCATCACTATGGTAATATATTTTTTTAAAATTCAATCTATTTAAAAATTAATTAACATTATTAATGTCTAAATATCCAACAACTATTTATTTTAATAATTATAAATATTTTTAATAAAATTATTAATAATTAAAAAAACAAAACTAAAAAAATAACATGAACTAAAATAATCAATTAATAGGTAATTTAAAAAAAAATCCTAATTAAATTCATCATTCAATACACAACTTCAATAAAAAAAATAAAAAAAAATTATGAGTAGAAGTCATATATCTTTATACCTCTTCTTTATAAAAAAAAAAAAAAAGTTGTGATTTGGAATACGACATCTTTACGGTGAAGTCGTATTCTAAAATACAACTAACACATATCTAAATTTTTTTAAAACTTACCTATTTTGACAAAATTAATATAATTAAATTTTAAAACATGCCCTTACTCTTGTAAGGTTGTTATTCTTAAAATATTGTATCTAAGAGAAAGAAATCTCTTAAATTGTGATTTGTTAGAAATAAATATGAATTCACCTAATAGATTTCTTACCAAATTAAAAGACAATATAAAATAATAAAACATTATAGTTAGAGAGCTTTGAGGTAATTTCTATTTTCTAAGTTAAAAGTCCTCTTAAAAAGATTATTTTTTCTCTTTAATCAAATAATTATCATTCAACTTTGAACACATTAATTTTTATTCCATAAATCTTTGGATTTTTCCTTTATAATATGAATTTAAAAAAAATTCACCCATTTTCTATTCCTTTTTCTGTAATAAGAACTTGAAACTTTTGAGTTGGAATTAAAAGAATTTGATTTTGGTGTTAATAATTTAAATAAAATCCACCAAAACAGGAATGAATAAAAAATAAGAAAAAGAAAATCTAAGAGAAAAAAATTAATAAAAAATAACAAAGTATTAAATTAATAAATAATAATATTTTTATTTTTAATTTAATAAATTTTTTCTAATAATTTAACTAATTAAAAGTTAAAACAAAATTTAATATTTATTTTTAATTAAGTTAAACTTATAGAGAATAAATAATATAAAATAAAAAAATTATAATTTGTATGTTAAACTTTCGAATGGATCAGTATAATTTTTTAAAAATAATTTAATTATAAATAATATTATTCATAATTGAAATTAATATTTTATCTTATCATGATTTTTTATTTGAATTAAATATTTAATTTAAATATCAACAAATGAATTAATTATTTAATTTATAAATTTTACATAAAGTTAAATGACTATATATATATATATATATATATATATTATAATCATATATAATATTTGTTTAATAAAAATATATATTTCTTAAAAATAAGAAATATTAGTATATATAAAAATTACAATTTATGTTAATTATTTAAATTATTAACAATAATTTATTTATTAAAAAAATTAAAATTTTAAATAATTGTTACATTTTTTTTTCTATCTATACGCGTGGATGAATAAATCATATCATATAAAACGTAGGAATAGATTATTATAAACCCAGAATCCAAAGAAATAATTAAATAAGAATCCAAATAAATAATTACATAGAGAAAATAAAACCTATAGTCTCAGAATCCAAACAAATAATTAAATAGATAAAGGGAAACCAGTGCACCCACAGACCTCTCGAAAATAGAAATGATAGTAACCCACACAACTCTACAAAAGCCAGTCACAGGAGAGACAAGAGGAGAGGAGAGTGATGAAACCCATTAGACATTCTTTAAATAATATAGTTCGCTATAATTTATTATCGATTTTGAATTTAGAAGAAAGATATCTATTTTCATTAAATTTGTTTTAGTTGATTTAGCAAAAATATTTTTATTTATTTGAATTTGTTTTATTGCATACGTATTATATTATATATTTTTTTATTGATTCGTTATCGATATTTATCTTATAGTATCAGACTGTATTCGTATCAGAGCATATTGGTATGATATATATGTGATACGTTGGTTTAACCAACATATCAGTGCTTAAGAATATGGAACCCTCGGAGAGGTTATCGCTAAGGTTAGAAGTGATGTTTGACACCAATAGAATATCATCAATGACGTGAAGGTGTTCTAGGAAAGATCAAGGACCGAGGTAGAAGTAAAGAAAATGAACTTGGAAAGCCTCCATGAGAGAATGAAGTGATTGGAAAGGCTATAAACTTAGTTCCCTTAGTTTTTTGGTAGCCTCGCAGTCACTTTGCAACCAACTATGAGAATGATCAAGACTTGATATGCACACCAAGAAAAAATGGGTTAAAGAAAATAGATTTGTTAGCCACCGCCTCCGTTGTCAATTTTGAGAATATTTTGATGTCCTCCAATATAGAGCTATCTTAAGTAGGAGAGATTTCCAAGTTGACAAAGAGTTTGAAATAAATAACCTATAATTTTTTTTAATCACTAAAAAAAAGGTTTACTATCTACCAGTAAAATTCGTAAGTAATGCACTTAATTTTGAGACTATTTTGATGTCCTCCAATATAGAGCTCTCTTAAGTAGGAGAGATTTCCAAGTTGACAAAGAGTTTGAAATAAATAACCTATAATTTTTTTCAATCACTAAGTTATTAAGATATTTTGATAATAACTTACAAATAAATTCTATTTATATTATTCGTGTAAATATATAAATACAAATATATTTATATTTTGATATATTTATATATATTTATATTTATATATTTTATATTTATATATTTATACATTAATAAATATAAATATAATTTATTTGTAAATTTTTATTAGCTTAATGGTTGGAGTTCCAATTTTCAATTCTAAGGTATGGGTTTGATTCTTGCCAATGATAATTCTTTTAATTTAATATAATTTATCTACTGAATTACCTATGGATGATATCCGTATATAATGTATAATTTACATACAAATAATAATTCTGTAGGTAATTAATTATCTACGGAATTATTCATGGATGATATTACCTACGGATATAATCCGTAGGTAATAGATAATTTATCCACAGATAGAATTCCGTAAGTAATATTCATAGTAAATTGAAGTAAATATCAATATTTTAAAATTAGACTGACAATTAAATCGATGAAAATATGAGTTCAAGATTAAATCAGATTCAACAAGGGTCAGACCAAATTTAATAAAATAATTTTTTATAATAAAATATAAAATAAAGATTATAAATATAAAATATATTAGAAAATAGATAATTGTTAAAATAAAAAAATATATAATAAAATAACTATTATTTAAAACTGAGGTAATTAATATGAAATAAAAATTAAAACTAAAATATATTATATCTTTTATAAAAAAAATTATATTAAAAAAATTTGATCATAATTTTTTTTTTTAAAACAAAACCGATTCCACTCAAAATTCCTTTTGGTTTTTTTAGTTTTACTGATTTACTTGTGGTTTAATTAAAATTCAGTTATTGAAAAGCAACATAAGTTTTTAGTCTAGTTCCTAGTTAGACTAATTGAATTGGTCGATTTTGTCCAATTTTCAAATAATGATTAATATTTTTACTTGTTTTATTCAATTTGTTTGTATACTTAGACAATCATAGATTTACTTTGATGTTGAATATATATGTACTCTAAAAGTTCTAGGTATAGATATTTTGTTATGAGCAAGTATGAGTATAATGATTAGCGGTTTCGAATTTATTTGAGCTTAAATATAATTCATTAAGTAAAATATAATATTTATGAAAATAGTTCTATTTCTTCTTATCACTCTTTTTTTAATGTTATGATTATGTTTGAGCTTTTCAATGTTAAAATCATCTTTATTTAACAATGATATATATATGTGAGAATATGAAAGAGAAATCCATAGTTGGGAAAATTATATATTAATACTTATTTTTCTTGTTATAAAAAGAGTAAATTATTTATTTTGTAAATCGTCTTAAATTTCTTTCTTCTCTTTTTTATTACTGCATTACATAAATGAATGAGTCATCATCAGTGACAAATCACATCAACAATCTGAATACATTATTTGTCCAACTTTCAGCAACTAATTTCAACATAGTTCTACTTTAGAGTTTACCAAATTCGTATGATCAATTTATCATCAATATAACAAATAATAATATTGATGGACATTTACACTTTAAGATGAAAAGTTTGAGCCAAACTGAGGTTTTGACGATAATAAGAGATAGATCAACGAAATATATAGTGGAAGTTAAAATCATGGTAGATCAATTTTTTGAGGAATGAAGAATCTCATTTACTACCATTATGGAAAGAGAGGGCATTCCAAATAAAGTAACATAAATTGAAGTTTGGTATAGTGACTATCAAGAGGAAACATACTGAACTTGGTTTATTCTAATGTGTTAGAATCAACAATATTATCCCAAAGAGGGACAAGAAATTTTGTGTTAATGATGATAATTACTCTAGGAGATAAGGTATACTGCATCACGAGGAAATCTATGTTTTCAAAGTATAAAAATGATAATTTCTTGTACTATGATAACAATGTGAAGGAGTATTTTTTGTGAGATTTCATTACTCACATGGTTACTATTAGCGAAGATGTAAATATTTTTTTTTTTCAAGGTGAACTTGGAGAAAGGATTGATATGCTCTAACCAAAGACTTAAATGAAAAAGAAAACTTGATTTGTAGGTTAACCAAATTTCTGGCTAGTTTAAACTGGGCACCCAAGTATTGATACAAAATATTTGATTCTTTATGATTAACCTTGGTTATAAAAGACTTAGTTCATACTATTGTATCTATTACAATAGATTTGATGAGATATTGGTGGTAGGTCTGGACAATGTTTGAATCCAAGTTTTGAAGGCATAGTTGGCTAAAGAGTTTGATACGAAGGACTTGAGATAAGATTTTAGCAATGTAGATTCACCGAGACATAAAAGATAAGAGTGTTTGACCTTATTAGGAGAATTACTTACTAAAGGTCTTGCAGTGCTTCAAGGTGTAAGTCAATTTTTACCCCACTATCTATCAAGTAATTAACTTATACTCAAGTATGAGTCCTAACAATGAAGCAAAGAAGATAAAAATATCTCGAGTGTTGTACACATTAGCGGTGAGAAGTCTTATAGATATCATGATTGGTACAAGATCAAACATTGCACAAGTAGTGAGAACGATTAGTAGATTTATGACAAATTGTGATAGAGAGCATGAGTATTATTAAAAAGATCGTTATCAAAGGAACCTTGGATGTTACATTATGTTTCGGAGGATCAAAACTAATTGTCAAAGGTTATGTTTGTTCAAGGTTTACTAGTGATCTTGACATATTTGCACTTATAGGATAGTCAGTAAGTTGGTTATCCAAGTTATAGTAGCTTTATCTAATACAGAAGTTAAGTACATAACAACCATCCAAGTTACGGAATTTATCTAGATTAAAAAGGTTAATGGAGGAACTTTCGTAAATTTAGCAGAAAATTATTATGTAGTTGGACAATTAGAATGTCTTGCACATTGGAAGAAATTTTGTCTTGCATTCCATAATAAAGCAAGAAAAATCTAGTGAATGTTATGACAAAGTTAATTATTAGCGGATATTGTAAAAAATAACAATATGAAAGACAATAATAATATACGATGAAGATTTGATTAATTTAATTTAAATCTTCAAGTAGGAGAATGTGAGAAGAGGAGTTTCATATCGAAGAAATTACATATTGATACTTATTTTTCTTAATGTAAAAAGGAGTACAATATTTATCTTGTAAATCATCTTAAATCTTTTCATTATTTTTTTATTAGTATATTATATAGTAATTGAATTATCTGATTTTTTTTTAATTTTATCATTCTTTATTATTGATTTTGTTCCTTTTTCTTAAAAGATGGCATTTTTGTTCCTTAATCTTTTGAGCAAAATTATCACGTATGAGTTGTCAAAATGAGACCATGTTTTAAGTATGTTGGCTTATGGGAGTATGTAAATCAAGATAAGAAAGTTCCACCATTAAGAAAAAAGTTGTCTCATGTTTAGATTCAACTCGTCTTTACCAGCATTATGCATTTGGAAACCGTCCAAAAAATTGGGATGAATTAAAGACACGCTGGTGATGAAAGGATAAGGTTCATTAAGATAGTTTGAAGTGCAGAAAATGAAGGAGAAAAGGAATGGAAAAAGAATAAGCATGAATAAATGATGAAATTGTATAAGGTGGCATGACGACTTCGTTCGTAGGAACAAAACAACACGACTTGGAAAATTGAGTCATGCCAATACCTAAAGCAATAAATTGGAAAACAAGACAGGAGTCGTATAAGCCTACGAACGTGGAAATTTGTATGAAGTCACTTTCAAACAAACAAACCAAAAGATTTGAAAAAGAATCCAATAAATAAATGTGGAAATTTGTATAAGTCGCATATCATGTTACACGACCCCATATCATGTTGCAAGAAAAGTAAAAAGAAAAAGAAAAAGAAAAAGAAAAAGAGAAACACTGTATAAGTCGCATGATGACTTTGTAGGAACACAACAACGAGAGTTGGAAAATTGAGTCATCGCATTACTTAAACCCATAAAGCAGTAAACTTTACTTTTCATGTGATGGAAACAACGGGATAAATTTATTTCTCAAAACATTGAGGCACTCATAAAATGTTGAAACCTTCTTCAGACAAATATCCCAATTTATATTTCATTACAAGCACAACACTAATAAAAGTAGAGTCTTCTTCATCAATTACTCTAATCTATTCAAACATGCAAACTTGGAACAATATACCAGAATCCCTCAATTCACAATGAATTCCAACTTATTTCCTTGTCCAACCTCAAATGTTGGCGTCACGCATGAGAAATGACTCTTCAAGTGCCTGCATTTTTTTATTTTTTATTTTTAAGAATGTTAGGTATCCCCAATGTAAATCAAAATTAATAACATTTATAATCACAAAAAGAAAAAAATATATTTAAAATTTTGAAGTAATAAGAATAAAAATACCATGTTAATTGAAAAAAAAATGTAGGGATAAAAAGAAATTCACAGTAGTTTTGAAGAAAATAAGTCAACATTTCATGATAGTAACGGAAATAACTAACTTATTTTTTTCTGAAGTTATCAAGTATGAAATGAACATAAAAAACATATACGAACATCTACATGTAATTAACCAAGGATCGGTTTGTGTAAAATCCCATCACTCAATTCAATAACAACATAGTATTAAAAAAAAAAGTGTATAAAAGCGTAAAAGTAACGTGACAATCAATTGAAAATAATTGATCTACTGTAAAACCCAAAACACTAACATTATTTTTTTAAAATAAATAATTCCAATAAATATTTCTTTGTGGATTTTAATAGATATTCAAATGTATAACAATTTATGAAAATAATATGAGAACATATAATGCATATAAATTATTACCTGTTAACTTGAAATAATTAGCCAAGAGTGCTATTTTGATATGAATATTGTCTGCTAAATTATTCAAAAACTGGAAATAGGCATGTCGCCATGAACGCTTGAATAAGATTGAGCCAAACACCATCCAGAAGCTTACAACAAATCCAAGTCCCATACTCATCAAAAATTCATTATTGAAAAATGAATCTTCTTCATCAACTTCATCTTTTGGTTCTTGTGTTGTCCCTCCCTCAATACACAATTTCTCAAGTGGTGCTCCACAAAGATTGGAATTATCTTCGTAGCTCGAACTATTGAAACTCTGCAATTGTGTGCTGGTTGGAATTTCTCCTCTTAGACGGTTATGCGACAAATCTAGCACACTAAGTCCATGGATTTGAGTAAGAGTTGGAGGAATTAAACCATCAAGTTGGTTTCTTGACAAATCAAGAGATTCAAGTGATGCTAACTTTCCAATATTTGGAGGAATTTTCCCAGACAAATTGTTTCTTGATAAGTTCAATGAAATCAATCCAGATAATTTCTCTATTTCTAATGGAATTTCATCTACAAAATGATTGCTTGAGAGATCAATGCTTTTTAAAAGTGACAAACCTTTATTCTGAAACTTTTGTTCCAAACCTTTCCACATCAACAATGCATTCAACTGGTAACTCCGATTGACTCTTAAATAACTGGTGTTGAGAAAATACCGGTGATATTCATTATCTATTGAAGATGTTGATTGAGCCATTGAGGAAAGGTTCGTTATGCATTTTGGAATTTGTCCAGATAGGTTGTTTAGTGAAAGATCCAAAATGTGAATGTTTATTAAACAACAAATCTGGAATGGTAAACTCCCATAGAATTGATTCCCTCCCAAACTTAAAATTTGCAATTCTTTGTTTGTCCCAATCCAGTTAGGAATAGGCCCTGAGAGTTTGTTTTTTGACATATCTAGCATCACTAGCTCTGTGCAATTCCTCAATGAGGAAGGGATTCCTCCGACTAAATTGTTGTTTCTCAAAAACAATGCTTGAAGACCAACAAGCGATCCCATTGAAGTAGGAACCTTTCCTGAAAATTTACTATCACTCAAATCTAAATAAGCCAATGACTTGAAATTGTTCCAACAATTTGGGATTTGTCCGGAGAATTGATTATTTGAAAGATCTAACTGGTGCAAAGTGTCAATTGTACCATTCGCACATAAAAACAAATTAGAATCGGAAAATTTATTTTTGGATAAATCGAGAATGAAAGAATTCCTTAGAAATATAGGAATAGGGCCTTCAAGTTGATTTGACCCAAGGGATACAGAATAGTAAGAATTATTTTGCGGAAAATTTGGAATTACCCCCCCTAGATTGTTGTATGAAATATTCAGGAACACTATCTGATACTCTAGCATTTGTAATTTAACCCAAAACCATTCAGGAACAATATCTGATATTGTAGCATTTGAAATGTCAATATCGTGAAATTCATTTTGTGTCTTCAACCATTTTGGAAATGTTGGACCTAGATTGCAAGATCTCAATCCTATATAATGCAACTGAAATGGTGGGACCCAATTGTGGCTAAATGCCAAGGCCAATGAGTTGTCAGATAAGTCCAAATTGATTAACTTGGACATATTAATAAAATGATAGTCAGTGAGCAGACCTTTTAAGAAATTGGATTGCATATCTAGTACTTCCAATTGAGGTGGAAATGGAATATCTTTAGGAATCTCTCCATTTAATTGATTATAGGAAAGATCCAATACTTGCAAGGTTGAAAATATTGAGAGATCAATTAATGTACCGCTGATGTTATTTCCATCCAATCTCAATATTTTTAGCGAGTTTCTTGCACATCCAGACAAGTGATGGATTATCATTAGAAGATTTACATTTAAATTGTTATAAGATAGACCAAGCTCAACGAGTTCGGAAGTGATGTTTGACACCCACGGGAATATCATCGATGACGTGAAGGTGTTCCAGGAAAGATCAAGGACAGAGAGAGAAGCAGAAAAATTGAACTTGGAAGGCCTCCATGACAGAATGAAGTGATCGGAAAGGCTACAACCAACTAACCTTAGTTCCCTTAGTTTTGGTAGCTTGACAATCTCTTGGAACCAACTATGAGAATGACCTGATGTGGAACCCTCCAAGAGGTTAAAACTAAAGTCAAGCTCAACAAGGTTGGAAGAGATGTTCGACACCCACTGGAATATCATCGGTGAGGTGAAGGAGTTCTCAGAAAGATGAAGGACCGAGAGAGAAGTAGAAAAATTTAACTTGAAAGGCCTCCATGACAGAATGAAGTGATCGGAAAGGCTACAATCAACTAAACTCAGTTCCCTTAAATTTGGTAGCTTGGCAATCATTTCCCTTAAATTAGATATTGATCGCAAGTAAAGATGCGTTAAAGAAATAAGATTAGACAGCCACTGACCTCCATCGTCAATTTTGAGAGTATCATCATGATAATATCCTCCAAGATAGAGCTCTTGTAAGTTTGAAAGGTTCCCAAGTTGAGATGGTATATTTCCTTCAAAAGAATTGTACCGAAGATCAAGATACTGCAAGTGGGAGAGATTTCCAAGTTGAGGAGGGATTGAACCCTCCAGAGAATTCCAAGCAAGATTCAAGTATTTCAAATGAGAAAGAGACCCAAGCTGACTGGGAATTTTTCCGCCAAAATGACATGACGACAAATCAAGGTATCTCAAGTTTCTTAAAGAACCAAGAAACTCTGGGATGTGACTGTCCGGAAAAGAATTGGAACTGAGGTTCAAATACTCTAATTCTCGCAACTCCATCAATGACTTGTGGATCTCTCCGCTGATATAACGTCCATAGATTAAATAACGAACCTCTCCGTGAATGTGGAGGCTTAAAATATGGGCAGTGAGGTTGCTGCAGCGAATCCCCTGCCATTGGCAACAATGAGGAGTGGACCAAGATGAGAGCATGCCACTGTGAAGAACAAGGGCAGTCTTGAATTGCAGGAGTGCTTCCCTCTCCTCTGGTATACACCTTATGTCCTCTTCACCATGAACAACCTGCAACACCAGACACACCATAAACATCGTCATCAACCTGAAACAAACTGGATTCCTCATTGATGTTGTGTTTGTTATCATGACAAAGGTAGTCAGTATTAGAAATAGATTGGTAGTGGTGGGTTACCTGTGTGAATAACCATATATGTATAACATTTCATGCATCCATTCCATGCTCATCATAACCGACCAAACTATGTACAACAAAAAAGACGTGGCGACGACTTCAAAAGTCTAAAAAAAACCTAATTTAATCTTTATAATTTTTTTTTTCAAGTTGTTAATAATTTAACCTTTAGTGTGATTTGTCTTTTCAATCACATTTTTTTTTTTCATCCACATTGTTTGAACTTAAAACATTACTTAGGGGACTAAATTTAATACCACTTAGAACAACTTATTAATAATTTAATGAATATTTAAGACATTACAAGAAGATATACGAGTTGGATTTTGTCTAGTCATTAAATTTTTAAAACATTTAGTTAGTTCTTAATGTTACCCAGTCATTCCTTTGCAGGCATTATCTATTTTGGAAAAATAAAGATAGGGGGTAAATTCGTTAAAAAAATATTTTAACAAAAATAATCAAATTTTAAAAAATATTTCTTTAATCACTTACAACAAAAATATTGAAAGTGTCAAAAGATGAAAAGAATAATAAAAAAAATGAAGGAAAGAAAACAAAATTACTATTAACTTTTTTTCAGTTACCCCAAATCTATATCTAATTTCAATTAAAAAACGTAACATGATTACATACATTCTATCACAAGAAATTCCTAAAACTACTAAGAAACACTACCAAGTATAGAAATGTACTCCACAACACATTATATCTAAGTGTGAAAACCATAACAACTAATAAGGAAATTAATTAAAAACTATTATTATAAATATAATTTATTTCTAATGGTCCATTCAATGACACTCATTTGTACGTATTTACATTATCGAACCACTATTTCTAAAATCTTTAACTATTAACATAATTTATTGTCACCATACTTTTTGCATAAAAATTTACTAAACTGGAAATCATTGTGAAGGTATTGAATTTTTCATATATAATTTTGCAGTGCATTTATAAGTGTTATATTCCCCGTTCAAATCAGTGTTTTTTTTTTTTTTCTTTTTTGTAGTCATTTATATGTTAGGTATAACGTGATTCATGCGTTTAGAATAAAAAAGCATCCATAGTGTGATTGATGAAAGTTTGAATCAAAAGTATTCGAACGTGAATCTGACCTATTTTGTTAGGCGTAATAGTCTATATTTCTACAGTGCCTTCTTTTTTATGGAGATTATATGAACTACTGTTAGCCTGGTTGCTAGAGTAATTTTAAAGGTTTTTTCGAAATTTAAAATAATTGAATTTTGAATGGTTTTTATTTAAATTTTTATGTTTTGAAAATATTGTATTTGGATGAGTCATTTTAAATTTTCAGTTAAATTAGACATAGGATAACATATATCCCACCTTACTAAGTTGATTTTGTAGGATTAGATTATGTTTTTCACAATTTTTAAAATGGTATCAGAATTAACTCTAACGATGTTGAAACATTATTTTTTAATGATTTTGGATTGAAAATGGTATCAATCTTTTACACTACAAAAAATATTAAAATTACCGACGGTCAAAATCCGTCAGAAATTCGGTTGTCGGTAACTATTACCGACGGATCTAATAGTCCGTCAGTAATAATTTTATTATTTATTAAATATTTTACTTATTTATAGCATATTTTTTTATAGAACCCCATCCCCTTTATATATTATTTCTTCATAGCCTTGAATCATTATCAGTTTAATAAGAAATGTAATTGGCAGGATTCGAACCCAAGCACCTTACAAATGAGGCTAATACTTCAACCACTAAGCTACTAGAATTTCTTGATAACAATTTACAAATAAATTATATTTATATACAAATATATTTATATATTTATATATTTATATATTTACATATTTATATATTTACATATTTATATATTTATATATTTACATATTTATATATTTTTATATTTATATATTTTTATATATTTATATATTTTTATATTTATATATTTTTATATTTATATATTTTTATATTTATATATTTATATATTTACATATTTATATATTTATATATTTTTATATATTTATATATTTATATATTTTTATATTTTTATATTTTTATATTTTTATATTTTTATATTTTTATATTTATATATATATATATATATATATATATTTATATATAATTAAATATTTATTTTTTAAAATTATTTAATTTAATAAATTATTATAAATTAATCTAATTATGATTAAATTAAATTATTAAATCAAAATATTTTATTTTTTAATTAGGTGAATAATTAAATTATATTATCTAATTTTACCGACGGATATATCCGATCAAGTAAATAATTGTTAATTTACAGATGAATTTACCGATGGATATACCGTCGGTAATTAATTGTTAATTTACCGACGGATTTACCGACGGATATATCCGTCGGTAAATTCATCTATAAATTACCGACGGATTTATCGACGGATATATCCGTCGGTAACTAATTATTATTTTACCGACGGATATTTCCGTCGGTAACATCAAATTTCAAAAATATTTTATATCCGTCGGTAATTTCCGTCGGTAATGATTATTTTCCGACGGCTACAAATCCGTCGATAAATATCCGTCGGTAATACGCGATTTTCTTATAGTGTTATGTGGTTTGGGTTCATCTCTCATTAGTATTTGTCGGGTTGATGAAAATATTACATATTGAAAAGTCCCACATCACATTGGATAAGCAATGGAGTGAGTGATAATAGCTATATAATGGGCTTAAAGTCCATGAGATTTCTCACCCCAGTCAAAGATACTTTAAGTTTGTATTTAAATTTTCTTGTACTCTTATAGTAGAGTGTTGTGATGTTTAGTTTAAATTCTTCCTTTAAAGAGTGTAGGTGTATTTGGGGTCAAGGGCATGAGAGAGTTGTCTATGTGTTACAAAAATTTTCACATAGTGTTATTCTTTATGGTTCAGTAGGATTTTTCTTAGTATGCTCTGTGGTTTTAGCTTAGTCTAATCTTCCACATCAGAAAAGATTAATTCCTTCTTGCTAGAGAATCATTCTTGATTGCTAAAGTTGCAATGACATAGAGAAATTTGATGGAATGATCTATTTTGGCAAGTCAAATATGTGTTGATACAATCTGGATTACACAACTTCTGATATGGAGGAAGAGAAATGGGAGGAACTAGATTTGAGAGTTGCAAGTGCAATTCGCTTTTGTTTAGCAAAGAATATTATAGCAAATGTGCAGAAGATGTCAACGACAAAGAAACTTTGAGAGAAACTCGAAGACTTATATCAAGCAAAGGACATCTCAAATCGATTGTTTTTAAAGGAGAAGTTTCATAACTTACGCATGGTGATGATACGAGAGTATTGTTGTTTATTTTAATCATGGTGGAGATTGTTGGGTTGATGAAAAGATTACATCTTGAAAAGTCTCACCTCACATTGGATAAGCAATGGAGTAGGTGATAGTAGCTATATAATGGGCTTAAAGTCCAAGAGATAGTAGCTATATAATGGGCTTAAAGTCCAAGAGGTTTCTCACCCTAATTAAAGACACTTTAAGCTTCTATTTGACTTTTCTTATACTCTTCTAATAGAATGTTGTGAGGTTTAGTTTGAATTCTTGTTGTGGGTGTACTTGGGGTCAAGGATATGAGAGAGTTGTCTATGTGTTGCAAAACACTACAAGAAAATCGCGTATTTGCAACAGATTTTTACCGACAGATTTGTAGCCGTTGGAAAATAATCATTACCGACGGATATAAAATATTTGTGGAATTTGATCTTACCGACGGATATCCGTCGGTAAAATAATAATTAGTTATCGACGGATATATCCGTCGATAAATCCGTCGATAATTTACAGATGAATTTACCGACGGATATATCCGTCGGTAAATTAATAATTAATTATCAATCTGAAATATCCATCGGTAAATTAAAAATTAGTTACTAACGGATATATTCATCGGTAAAATTATATAATAATTATATTTTAATAATTTAATTATTCACCTAATTAAAAAATTAAATATTTTTATTTAATTATTTAATTTAATCATAATTAGATTAATTTATAATAATTTATTAAATTAAATAATTTTAAAAAATAAATATTTAATTATATATAAATATATAAAATAAAAATATAATAGGGGGAAATAATTAATAATAAATAATAAAAATATAAAGGGAAGGGTTCTATAAAAAAAATAAGTTATAAAATAAGTAAAATATTTAATAAATAATAAAAATATTACCGATGAACTATTAAATCCATCGGTAATATTTACTGACGATCGAATTTCGACGGATTTTTGGCCATCGAAATCCATCGGTAATATTCATTTACTGATCGGATTTTAACCGTTGGTAATTGTTATATTTTTTGTAGTGAAAATTTACCGAGAAGAGACAATACTAATGAGAAAAAATGTCATAAAGAACATTATCATTTATTCTCGAGAATTACCCTACTAATAGAGAAATAAGAGAAAAACAATCAAACTACGACATTATCTAATAATAACCAAAGAATAATAATAGGTAAAAATTTTCACTACAAGAAATATTAAAATTACCTACGGTCAAGAATCTGTCGGTAAATGTTTTTATTATTTATAGTTTATTTTTTCCCCTTATTATATTTTATAGGTTTTGAATTATTATCAGAGATAATCGTCATTGGCAGGATTCGAACTCAGCATCTTAAAACTAGAGGTTGATACTCCAACCATTAAGCTACTATAATTTTTTAATAAAAATTTACAAATAAATTATATAAATATATAAATATATTTATATATTTATACCGAACGGATATATCCGTCGGTATGATCAAATTCCACAAATATTTTATATTCGTCGGTAATTTCCATCGATAATGATTATTTTCCGACTGCTACAAATCCATCGGTAAAAAATCGTCGAAAATACGTAATTTTCTTGTA